ATGCTCCTCGAGAACACAGACATTTTGGATCTGGAAGGTTTTAACAATGTTTTTGGCTGGCATGCATATCTATGGTATGACAAAAGTAAGCAGCATAGTGCCTTTAAAAATCACATTGTTAGAAAAGCATTGTTTAATGTATGGATGAGATATAAAGATCTCTTGGAAAACAAAACCCCTAGATGGGTGTCACCAGTCGAGGCTAAAGCAGTAAAGAAACTCAATATGGAGGTCGGATGGCCAAAGTATTGGGAAATTTTGGAACAGGATGGAGATAAGTGGAAATTACAAAGCTATGACAAATTGAAACATAAAGTACAAAACTGGCTTCAATATTATCAAATAATGGAGCTTTTCAAACAGGACAGGAAAATTGGCTTTCAGGTGGAAAAATCAAAACTAGAGATTGAACTGTTAGAACCCAACACTAAGAATTTATCAAGAATGTATAACTTGTTGTTGAAATGGAATACACAGGATGAAACGGTGAAATCAGCCATGATTAAATGGGCACAAGATATTGGTCATGACATTATGTTTGCTGACTGGGAACAGTTATGGACCACCGGTGTTAAGTTTACGGCATGTAATGCCTTAAGAGAAAACATAATGAAAATGATTTACAGGTGGTACATGACCCCAGTCAAGCTGGCAAAAATCTATCATTTGCCCGATAACAAATGTTGGAAGTGTAAAGAGATTGAAGGTACCTTCTACCACCTTTGGTGGACATGCCCGAAGATTAAGGCCTTCTGGGAAATGATCTATAATGAAATCAAAAAGGTACTCAAATGTACCTTTTCTAAAAAACCAGAGGCCTTTCTCTTGGGCATTGTCGGCCAATTGGTGACAAAGAGGGATAGAACTTTCTTCATGTACGCTACAACAGCAGCAAGAATACTCATCGCAAAGTATTGGAAGACACAAGCTCTACTCACTCTGGAAGAATGGCAGATGAAAGTGATGGACTATATGACATTGGCCGAGATGACAGGCAGAATCCGTGACCAACGAAAAGAGACGGTGGAAGAAGAATGGAGAAAATTTAAAAGTTATCTTAAGGACTACTATAAACTTAATGAATGCTAAAATGTTGTGGTTTCCAGAAACAAAGGGATACAGGGATACAAGGTTAGAAATATAAAAGAGGACTAAGATGACAGAGATTGGAAACTAACAATTGGGAGTTGCTAGTTGAATTATGGACATTGGGATGCAGAGAGGGGGGTATGGGGAAGTCAAAGGAAAGAGGTTTATGAAAATATGTTTGAAACTATACGTGTATGTTTGTCATTTTTGGTGTTTGTTTGTTTTTCTTAAAAAGTTTCTAAAACCAATAAAAATTTTATATAAAAAAAAAAGCATATATCAGGGAAGTGGAACCACAGGGCAGGGGCAAATGTTTTGCCCTCTTAGGCACCTTTTACATGTTTTTGTCTGGCTAGAATGTGATGCCTCTCGCCTGCCTACAGAGAGCAAGGTGGAGGTTGAGAAACCACTGATATTTGCATGGTTGGCATATAGGTAAAAACGATCTATTAATGGGCTGGGATCCTGTTACCGAATCAGAATGTTTACAGCTAATTAAAACACTCAAGAATGGCAAAGCTCCCGGTGAAGATATGATTCCTCCTGAGGTGTTTAAACTAAATGCCCAGTGGTGGGCTGCTTTCTTGGCCCAACTTTTTACGGTAATAAATGATACATGCAAAATCCCAGAAAATTGGAAACTGAGCCTGGTAGCCCACATCTATAAGAAGGGAGACCCCCAAGACCCCTCAAACTATCGCCCCATAAGCCTCCTGGACATTGTGTATAAACTTTATACTCATTACCTGCTAAATAAACTGGTTGACTGGGCTGACCACTCTAACTGGCTTAATCCGGAACAGGCAGGGTTTAGAAAGGGCCATAGTACAACAGGCCATTGTTTGGTACTACAGACAATGATAGATAAGTATACAAAGGTACATAAGAGCAAACTTTTTGTGGCTTTTGTAGATCTCACATCTGCTTTTGATTCAATCTGTAGGGACTTATTATGGCAAAAACTATATGAGACAGATATTGATAGACGACTTCTCAAAATACTTAGAGAGTTACATTCAGACACTACAGTTAAAATTAGAACTGGGTGTCAGGCAACTATACTGACCCACTGCCACTGGGGAAAGGGGTTAAACAGGGTTGTTTGTTAGCGCCGTTCCTCTTTAATTTCTATATAAATGACATTGTTCAACATATGGCAAAGTATAAGTTAGCAGCTCCCGCCCTGGAAGGCAAACACCTGAATATATTGCTATATGCTGATGACATGGCTGTCATGGCACTTACTCGAAGGGGCCTACACAGCATGCTGGAGGGGCTCGCAGCTTATTGTTCCGAAAACTCTCTAAAGATAAATTATGACAAAACAAAAATTGTGGTGTTTACTAGAGCTCGCCACACATTCAGATGGTCTTTAGATGAACACATAATTGAACAGAGACTTTTTTTAAAATATCTTGGTATCACTTTCCAAGCTACATCTAGCTGGCTTGCCCACTTTAAGACTGTAGCCCTCCTAACACGTAGGACAATCGGTGCTCTGCTCAGCTTTTTTTATTTGAGGGGAGGGCAATTGGTGATCCCGGCACTAAAAGCTTTTGTTGGAAAAGTGATTCCCCAGATGTTATATGGAGTAGAACTCTGGGGATGGAATCAGAAGCTGCTAGATCGGCTTGAAATCTTCCAAAAATTTTATCTCAGAAGAATTCTAGGCCTCCCTCAGAGTACTCCGGCAGCTTTCCTAAGAGTGGAAGTAGGATTACCTTCTGTGTCTGCCAGGGCCCACTTAAGATTCCTGCGTTTTTTCACCAACCTCCCAGATGCCCCGAACACCTTATTGGCTAAACAAGCCTTTGTATCATTACAAAATAATATTACTTGGCGTAAAAATTTACTAGATATCCTATCCAGATACAATCTACCTGAGTTTAATACTCTCAAATTGTGGAGCCCTGATAAAGTTCGGGAATGGATTTTTGAAAAAGACGCCTTTTTGGACTTCATAAAGATAAAAAACTCTGGGTTTTCCTACTGGTTTCCCCGTGTAAAAGCAGTCAAAATCTGTGCCAACTACTTGGTGGAGATCACTGATCCCACCCTTCGGAGAGCTTTCACTATGGCACGGTTTCAAACATTGCCAACTGCATATCTGACCGGTAGATTCACAAAAACCCCAGTAGAACACCGTTTATGCCCTTGCCTTATGAAAATTAAAGAGGATCTTACACATTACCTCCTCTATTGCCCCATTTACTCGGGCTTTAGAGACGCATTGCTGCAAATCATACCCAACTCTATAATCAATCCTGAAGATAGAGTAAAATTTTTGTTAGTAGATGCAAACCCACACATTACCCATGTGGTAGCGGTTTTTGTGATGAAGGCCATGAAAGCCAGGGAAAGATTTATGGATGACAATGTAAAGACCCTCTCATCGTCTGTCTAACTCGTTGCTTGTTTTCTTTCTCTTTCTATTTTGTGGGTTGAAGGTTTTGTTGGCATAGTATGTAATGAATTTTAATATTTTAATTATTGTTGTGTCGATGTTTGTGTACAGGCATGGTCCTCACAATAAACGGATTTGTTGTTGTTGTATAGGTAAAAGTGACATCCATTGCTTCACCCACTTCCATCTCTTCCACCAGTGGCATGAAGCATTTGAAATGAGCTAATGCAGACCCTGGGATGAAAAGCAGTTCAAAACTTAAGTTGTATTTAGAAACATCAAAATAGTTTTTCCTTTTAATATATTTAAGCTTCCAGCGTCACATATAATATGAAGACTTTGGAAAAAATATACTGGTACATCTTCCATTAGGGCAGATTCTGATAGGCGATGAACCAGTTTAACAAGAACACACACCCTGTTAATATGCAACATGGGCTGTAGGTACATATATTCCTCTTAGTTTCTCTGTGGCTCTAATGCAATCACAGCTAATAGGATGCAAATATTGACACGTATGCAGAAAAGTATGTTTGCTTACGTTTTGACACAGCCAATAAGAACGACAAAGGCAACAAGTTTTTTTCTGAGGCTTAAAATTGAGGAGACCATAGAGGGACACACATACACGCAAGAGCTGTTAAAGTTAAAAAGTTGTTGTAACAACCTCTTTTGACTGGAAATAGTGGAGGGAGAGGAGCCACCAAATAGATTTGGTCTCATAGTAGCAGAACAAACTCCCTCTGCTGCAACCAAGTATAATGGCAGGCAGCTAAAAGATGACAATATAGATGCATCTGGTGCTCCCCAAACAAGTCTAGGAGTGTCCAAACACTTTAAATTACTGTTTCCAAACACACACATCCCACACACCAATTTGTCACATGGAGCTTGCGCTAAACTGGAACCACATAGAGTGTGATAAGGGGAAGCAGCTGCAGCAGTAGCAGTAGAACAAACAGATAATTATTTAGTTTCTGACACCCTGATGCAGCACCTCATTTAATTTTTTTTTAATTTTCCACAGGATCTAGCAATGTTAGGTGCTTAAGAAACATTTTAAGAAGTTCAGCAAAAAGTTCAGAGTTAGAATCATTTGTTGCCTTCAAAGTTGTCCTTATGCACTGCTACCTACTTGGCTCATGTCCTTTACGTTTTGACCAGCCTGCACCAGAAGCCTCAGCACCCCGGGGGGGGGGGGTGTGATGTTAGAAAAGCTATTGTTAAGTGGACTTTATGATCAAGGAGCACAATTCCAACAATATTGGAAAGTCTATATGGCCACTAGAAGGCAAATATCTGAAATCAAGAGAACACAAGGGTGAGAGCACTGTAGTGACTAGCTATTGTTTAAACACAAGTATTTGGGAGCTGCATCCTACTTAAGATTTTAAAAACGCATGTATAGATCTATAATACGGACAGTGCCTAAAACAGTTTTTCCTTCACTTTAGTGATGGTAATGGAGCAAGTCTGAAAATGAGGCTGAAAATAAATTCCAACAATGTTCCTTGAACAACTTTTAATATTAAGTTTATTTCACAAATAATTTTTTAACATTATCAGATCATGTATAAAGCAACGTAGCACAAGTCTTTTGCACTGCACCTTGGTGATATATAATTTGTCCTATGACCAACTCAAGCTGTTCCTGCATAGATGCTTCAATTATCAAACTTCTGCTCATAATTCAGTCAGTTGTCAGGGATGGGGTAGCTGCAAATTCCTGGGAGCCATTAGACTCCAGCTCCCCCATCAACTCACAGTCAGCTGGGCCTATGTCTAAGGTTAATGGGAGCTGCACTAAAACAACATATGGTAAAGCTACAGGTTCCTCAAATGTGGTCTATATAAAACATATTTTAGACTAACCAGCTATATGTGTCAGAAAGCTTCCCAATAGGTTAACAAATAATCAACAGCTACTTTTGTGAACAACAAACTGTAACACACCCTGCAAGGTTGCTCACCCCCATCTTTAGTAACATTTGGTTCCAAGGCACTACAAAGCTAGACTGGATTAGCAACCCAGTCATTTGAGACACAATAACTGACCCAAAAAAGTGCCCACTGGGCTGCAGTGTGAGGATCTTGCTGATCAAACTCATTTTATGCCCTTCATGAAAGAAATGTCCGCACTGTACCCTTGATTGTCCCTCTGCATATAGGGCATTTTCTAAGGGAAGGGGCACATTCTTTACACACAACTAAGTGGCCACATGGGATGAAGACAATGGACACTTCCTTGTCCATGCAAACTTTGCATGTTCTCTCTTCTTGTAATCGTCTCAGCTGTTCTTCCATGGGCAGGCCTGCAGGGGAGAAAACTTACGTTATATATGTTCCAAATTGCTGTATTTTACAATACAAAGAAATACCACTTCAAGTCTCTCCCCCTCCACCCCAAAAACTCCCTTTGTTTTCTTTTTCTGCATCCACCAATACACGTTGGAGTTATTCTGACGAAGAGACTTCAAAATCAGAGATATAGTTTTCCTGGTATATATGCCCAAAGGTGTACCCATTCAGAAACTGCTCGCAAAAATGAATCATAGAATCATAGAGTTGGAATAGACCACAAGGGCCATCGAGTCCAACCCCCTGCCAAGCAGGAAACACCATCAGAGCACTCCTGACATATGAGTCAAAAAGCAAATGTGAAGGTGTGCTTAATGATGCTATAGGGGAAAGAGGTGGAGGCTCCAGATAACAAACTACCAGGGATGTGCAGAAGGCAAGTTTCCATTCCATTCTTGTTACAAGAAGCAAGGACTGGAATTTGCTCACAATCATGGCACTTGCCCAGACTTCTTAACCTATGATTTCAAACTACAGATGTGGGAGAACTTTTATACAGTGGTACCTCGGTTTTCGAACGTTTCAGAAGTCAAGCGTTTTGGCTTTCAAACGCTGAAAACCTGGAAGTAACTGCTTCAGTTTTTGAATGCTTTTAGGAAGCCGAACGTGCCATGTGGCTTCCATATTGAGTTTTCCAGACGTAAATGCTTCCGGAAATGCACACTTCAGTTTTCGAACGTTTCAGAAGTCGAACTGTCTTCTGGAATAGATTACATTCGAAAACTGAGAAACCACTGTATATGGTGCTTCTCTATACCAAGTATCTGAAACTATTTAAAATGAGAGTTTTAAAATTTATTTTTATAAGCAATCCGTATTATTTCAAATGGTGTCCAAAGTTATTTTAGTGAATTCAGTTTTTACCTGAAACATCTTCTGTTGGAATATAAGGCATTTTCTTCTCCTCTAAAAAAAAATTTAAAAAATTAGTTCTGTTCAATAAACTTAAGACTTCCTGCAAGCAATAAGCTGCCATACTAATAGACAGGGTTCTATGGTTTCCTGCATACGATCCCTAAAGCAAGGTCAATGACCTCTATTACTGCTCTGAATTATAACATGCTAAGGCTGTCATCTCTCAGAGAAGTGGCAATTAGATGTTAACCAGCACATTCTTTTCTCAAACTCACCGAACAAGTCTTTGTATAATACAAAATCACACTCTTGTAAACAGTTTCTGAATATGTTTGCAGCTGTGTTTCCTTTCACCAAGATGGTATCAATCAGTTCTCTCGCTTGCAGTGGTGTCTGGGTTTTTTGTTTAATAACATGGTATTCAACGTCATTTATTACTTTGGATGTTAATAAACTTTCAAGGATAGGAAGCACACATGTCAAGCGCTGAAACAATGCATTTCGGTTCTTCCTGATTAAGGACAGATCTAAAATATAAATAATGAAAAATGATTATAGTTCAATTTGTTTAGCATTGGAAGATTTAAGGAGAATTTTTGAAATCACAAGAGGGTGGGGGAGAAAGGAATTGAAAATAATTTATGCTTCTGAAGCAAGTTTAGCTTTGATAAAGAAAATACAACATTTCAACGTTCACAAAGCCTGCAGGTCTCCCTCCCCAGCCTTCCCTCACCTGAAAAATGAATGTCCCAAAAGGTTGGAAGAAAGTTGAATTATGCTTTAAGAACAATTTTCTTATGTGTTAACTTAGCATATAAAAGAGTATACTGTCTGGTGTACTGATGAAATGGATTGGGAGTGAATGCAGACAAAGCATTTGCATTGTATCATATTTACCTAGCTAGCCTATTCTGGACCAACTGAAGTTTCCAGGCCATTTTAAAAGGCAGCCCCACATTTAATAAATTGCAATAATCCAACTATGAGGTTACCAGAGCATGGATAACTGTAGCAAGGTTCTGTCCAAATAGGGGTGACACCGGCAAATCAGTGAAAGATGACAAAAGGCACTCCAAGAGCACTTCAAGTTATGAGTTTGCTGCTTTAGGATAGGTACAATGCCATCCAGAGAAAACTGATCACTACCTAATTGGGTAAACCAACCACCTAACAACAGTACCTCCAACTTGCCTAAACTGAATTTCATTTAGCCTCAAATGTAGAATAATAGTTTCCAAGTTACAGGAAGTAAAAGTCACCACTTTATTTTGCATTCACTTGACACACAGAGTCCAATGCCAGGTACCACAGTTTAAGAAGAATGTAGAAAAAATAATGAGTTCGGAGGGCAACAAAGATGGCTAATGGTACTGGAAGTAGGTCCTATGCAGAAAAACTGATGGAAGTGGATATTCCGTATTTTTCTGGGTATTGGACGAGGTTTTTCAACTCAAAAATCATGTCCAAAAACTGGGGTCGTTCAATACACAGATATTGCCATGGCGGCGGGGGGGGGGGGGGAGCGGCGCAGCACCAGCCATTCGGTTGGCAGGAGCACGGCTTCCGGTGCTGCGGTGAGCAATCTGGGGGATGTTTCCTGCCCACAGCTGCAGGGGGGGGGGGGAAGCTGCACGCCGCCAGCCAGCTCTTTGATGGGAGTGCAAATTCACCCGATACCACTGTGCGTGGGAAACGATCTAGGGAGTGTTTCCTGCCTGAAGCTGCGTGGGGGGAGAGGCTCAACAACTTGGGGCCATCTCCCCTCACTTTCTTAAAATTTAGTCCCCCCAAATGGGGAGGGGTGTCCTTATACAAGGGGGCGTCTTATAGACGGAAAAGTACGGTATTTAGCCCAGAGGTTGATGGGAGAAACAGTAACACAATATCTGATGGATTATTAACTGGCGACCATAGATGGCAGGACTAGATCTAATGAAAGCAATTTGATAATGGAATCCTTGAGGCCTGTGGGCTCTCTCCTTCTGGGAATCTTCCAAGTGGAAGCTGGGAAGCCATTTTTCAAGGAAGATTATGAAGAGAATGAAGCAACATAACAGATTCTATCCCTAGAGCTTTTTACATACCTGATGTCACTTCCTCTGCTTGTACCACCTTCTCTTCATTCTTCTCATCTCCTGCAGCAATGAGGTCGGACACAAGATCATTTACAGATTTATAATTCTCTCCGGTTGTTAAGATTTTACTCTGAACAGTCTGCTTGACTAGTCTTTTGCTGAATCCCATCTCCAAGGCAGCTTCAACCACTGGGGTTTTCATCATGATTGCATCTTCTGAAGCATTCTCACCAGGTCCAAAATGAATAACTGCTCAGAGAAAAATTCATGGCATTGCTCATCAGATCCATATGGATTTTGAAAAATATGTTTTAAATTTAAATTAAAACAGAGAATAAGATCATGTTTACATCAGGTTCCATGTCCAACATTGAAATAACCTTTGCTTTACTCTTATGCAAATTAACTTTTATATTAGGCTATACTAAAGGCATTTTCACACAAGAAGCTTACGGATGTGAACATATTAAACTGTCTTATACTAAGTCAGACCACAGATCCATTTAGATTAGCAGTGACTCAGAACAGAAATCCAAAATCTCAGCAAAGGCTTTTCTGAATTGTACTATCAGGGACCTTTTTGACTAAACATACCAGGGACTGAATCTGGAACTGTAGGCACACAAAGAATGTGCTCACCTACAAAGCAATGAGACCTCCCCTTCAGAAACGTACAAACCCTATATCTTGCTGCAATAGGCAAGAACCAGCCAGCTTCTACTACATAAGTAGAATTACTAATCAACTTACTAAATAGTATGTTTGGAAGTTACAGCAGCTGATATAGGAACTATGCTTGACAGCAACACTAATTAATTCACTAGCTGTATTACTTTGGAAAAGCAGCTTTTTAAAGTCCAGAGCAAGCTATCAAACAAATATTTCAAGCCTCTATTATACAGTCTCCATAAGTGATCTTGGCTTTCTCCAACTTAGGTCAGATCAATTCACAGGATGATACCCAATGTGAATCATATTCAAGTCCATTGATTTCATTGGGTTTACCCTGAGTATAACTTATTTGGATCACCAACAGTAAATTCAAAGCTATCCACAATAATTTTTTGCACCACTAGGGGGCATCTATGAAAATGTTGAGATAGGTTTTGCTAGCAATCTCAATGAAGACTTTAAAAAGAAAACAACAGTCTTATCTGAGTGTGCTTTTTCAGGAACTGCACATTGAGTTTGGATTTTTTTGAAGTGTTTGCCATTGTTTTCCAATGAATTCTCATTTTTTGCAGTTTTTGTTATTTATTATACTTGCTGTAAGATATGAACTGCATCAACATTCCACTTAGTAAGCAAGGCAATGCAAATAAGAATAAGACAAACAGAAGTATCCTCATTTTGAGAGTACAATACCAAGTGACAACAAAGTTATTTTTGAGAGTCCATATTTAAGTTGCTTTGTAAGACACAATACTTCTAGATAATTGACTAAAACCCAATAGTGCTAAGTGTTTTTGGTATTTCCTATTTAACAAACAGTGCTTTCATATTCCAAGTGTCCATACCAACTTAAATATCTTGTAAAAAAATACGTACTTGGCTCAACATTTTCATCCACAGGTGTATCTGAGGTGGATAACAGCTACAAAACACAGAAAGAGTGTTTTAAAATGAATGTAATTTTTGTGTATCAAAACAGAAGCGAACACAAGAAGTTTGCCAAAATTTAAACCACTTAAACAGTCACCCTAAACATCTGCATGCACTCTGTCCTGAACACCACAGCAATGTTCTTGTCAGACACTTTGAGGGCCGACTGTTGCTGTCACAATACATTGTCAACTGCCAGAAGAAAGGGGAAGCCCTCATCATCATCACTGCTTGTAGCTCCTATATGCAATTTTGATTGTTAGCTGCAGTGAGCACAGTAACAGATCACACATCAAGCAATTTGCGCAATTAGCCACTTAGTCACTCAAACTATCTTAGGAAACCATCACAGTTGCCGTGTGAAATTGACAAGTTTCTACTGAATCACAGAAAACTCAGATGCTCTCTAAAAGACCACATCCTTTGACCTTGTCATTTAGTAAGTTCACACCTTTATTTGTAGCCACTTTCAGCATGCCTAACACATGGTTGGCTTTTACGTGATTAGGGGGAAGAGATTAAAATTAAAGGCTCTTCTAGAGAGCTTAGTTTGAAAGTGTTCAATTTAAAAATCTATGATGTACAGTGGTACCTTGGGTTACAGATGCTTCAGGTTACAGACGCTTCAGGTTACAGACTCCACTAACCCAGAAATAGTACCTCGGGTTAAAAACTTTGCTTCAGGATGAGAACAGAAATTGCGTGGCGGTGGTGGTGGGAGGCCCTATTAGCTAAAGTGGTGCTTCAGGTTAAGAACAGTTTCAGGTTAAGAATGGACCTCCAGAACGAATTAAGTTCTTAACCGAGGTACCACTGTAATACACAAGAATACTGCTGAAATCAGAGCAAAGTAGTTGTTTGAATACCTGTTCAAGAAGATGGGGGAATCTTACTTGAATTTGATGGACAAACTCTTGTCCTTTCATATGCCGCAGGTACTCACATCTAGAAGATAAAATGCAGTGTTTCAATTCTAATATGCAGATTGTACATTGCTCCAGATACATGCAGAACAAAGTGCCTCAGATAAGCCATATGCATGCCCAGTTCTAAATGTTCACTTTTGAAGTGGAGTTTGTAATCTGACATGACAACTCCTCCAGATACATAACATATTAACAGAGAATCTGCTCCGTTTAAACCACGGTCGGTCAATCTATGACCGAAAGGTCACATGCAGCCCTCAATCTAATTTCATGTGGGTAGGGGAAAGTCTGGATGGAATAAGCAGGGGAAATATGGAGGGAGAAATGAGAAGGGTGAAGAAAGCCTTCTGAGAATGATCAGTTCAGTCCCCTGCAAAAACTATTTAGTCACTCCCTGGCAGCCCACTTGGCAGGGGAAAAAAGAGAATAGAATATAGTCTGCTTACTGCTAGCATCTGCCCCCAACAGATTGCACCAAGGGGAGTACAACTCTCAGCAGGAGAAAAACAATACTCCTCTTAAAATAGATCTCTTTGGGATACTAGTTTTGCCTTTCAGTTCCAAATATATTAAGATTAGGACCATAATTGCTACATTTCAAAGAAGTTTAGATGTACCTTGGAAACCATTTAGCATGTTCTACCCATGGATCATCCCCAGACTCCCAACACCTGAGTCCACCATCACAGCAGAAACATTTAACATCATCATTGCGACCTGAAGAGGGGAGGGGAAAAACAGTTTATATAATATTTTTAAAGATACGTTCAGCAGTCACTGATTAAACAGTTAAAAAAAATTTAAATAGAGTCCAAGTGACCAAAAATAGGCAGCTCACTTACCCACATAATAGAAGCCAGCATCTGCAAGCCGCGGTGGCTGAACTGGAACTGCAGCTGGCCAGCTTTTGAAAGTGTTGAGGCGCATTACGTAGGTCTGCATGCTCATATTGGAGACTGTGAAGCTGGTCTGGTCACACATTTGTTCCACAAAAGGGCAGTTTGGAAAGTGCCTCCGATGTTCCGACATGGCATTATCCTTAGGCTCCCAGTTACTCAGTTGACCACCACAGGCAAAACAAGCCACCTTGTCCGCAGGCCCAATGTAATAAAATCCAGCTTTTGCCAAAGAAGATGGTGACAGAAATGTCAGTGGCCATGACTCGAAAGTGTGCAGTCTGTCGTCCTCTGCACTCATTGCATAATTGACTGTTTTAGGTCTCAAATGGGACAAGTCTTCAACTGCCCTGGATGTGACTGGATCATGAGGAAAGCTTGAAAAGCTTCCACTGAAATAGCCAACTTGATCCATATTTGCTGCTGGTGTCGGGGAATGTGAAGAAGAAAGGCCAAAGGCAGTTGGAGGTGAAAAGGCAGAATTAAATGATGAACCGAGATTGTTCAATGGAGTCAAACTCTTCACAAAGTTGCAGCTAGGGTAGAGTTGCTTATGCTTGTCCAGAGCCTTGTCACCTTTTTTCCAGTTATCCAACATCAAGCCACAACTAAAACATTTTACTTTGTCTTTCACACCAGTGTAATAGAAACCAGCACGGGCGAGACTCCTTTCAGATACAGGTACATTCTGAGGGAAAGTTGAAAAGGTGGACATCCTGTAGAGTTCACATGACAGATCGTACGTCAGTTCACTTACATCACTGCTATTCCTCAGTTTGGACGGTAATGAATCATATATGTTCATGACGATGAAATAAGATAGGAGAATGGGACGAGTCTGAAGCCTGGGAGATAGTTTTGTGCAAATCTGATTAACTTCCAGGCCATAATAAAATAAAAACCTGAAAGCAAAACATTGCATGCAATTTCTTTATAAAGTATCTCTTTCATTCAGTACTTTCATCTTTCTGGCTAAACATAATTTGTTCTCTTTTTCAAAATGCACACTTCCTTAAAACACTGTAGTTCCTTCTTTCTTATAAGTGCTAATGTTCCCCTTCTCATTATGGCAGAAGGGAGAAAGCCTTAAAAATAAAGTGTGAAGAAGAAAACTAAATATTTAGCCCATAGCCTGTCAACTTGGACATGAGCCCCACCCAAATCAAAGGAAGTCCAAATAAATTAAGTTAGTATCAGGCTGCAGCATTAGTTTCCAAATCCTGTTACTATGTAGAAAATAAAAGTGCAGAAATGTAGGGTATTAAGGAAACATGGAATCTGTAGGCATATGTATGACTTGCTTGTAGTTGGCTACATATGCTGAAAAGCCTGTTCCCCTTTAAAGTCAAATTAAACCAGGAATGTATGGGTTGTCCCCAACTAGGTTTTACTTAAAGGAGACCCACTGAAAGTAGTGGATGCAAATCTCCATTGATTTCAGCGGTGCTTTGAAAACTTATGGTACATAAATACATCTGCTCCCTCTTAAGATTAGTTTAATTCTTGCCAAGAAGATACTCAAGGATTTCCCCTCAAATACATCAATGAAGTTTTGGAACTATTAAGCTAAGGGTGATCTCTGCAAACCACTATTGCTCTTGCCCTGGACACCAACAAGCTTTAATCAGCCCTGGAACATTTTCTTTCCTTATGTTGTTGCTGAAGTTTTATAGCATAATTTTAACCAGGTTGCTTTACTATTATTAGAAGTTTATTGTGTTTAACATAATTATATTGCTTAGGAGAGGAAAAATGGAACATCGGTAGGGCTGTATAGAAATTTAATAAATAATAATAATACTCATTAGCTAAAATATTTAGGCAAGTCATGTCTCTCCTTAATAAAAGCAAAAATAATTTTAGTATTTATGCACAAAACTATCTCCCAGACTTCAGACTCAAGTCCCTTTTAAGGGGCTTAGGCAGCCATATTGCAATATTGGGTCCACAAGGAGAAACAGTAAATGTAATGTGTGATAAACACAAGGTTACCAAGACCTGCATGAAGAGAAAAAGATATATGAGCTTCTTTAAAAAGTTACAGTATACTGTGTGTGTACACAGTTGTAAAGCACTACAAATATTCAATGGCAATAAACTTCACTTCACAGTTATATTTTTAGCCAGAGTCTAATAACTTGTCTATGCCAACTGTTAGAATGGACTGGTGTTGAACTGAAGCCAATTTAGCCCACAAAGCATCCTTTGTCCCTATACTGAAAGACCATAAAGGAATCAGTGTTAACACCACTGATGTAGAGTTGAGCAGTTCAGGTTAGCTGCAAATCTCTCAGAATGGTGGCGGGGAGCAGGGATCAAGATTCCCTGCTAACTGTACACAAGAGAAGGCCATATATGAAGGCTCCCATAAGTTGATATTCACCTGCACATAGGAAGCACTCATATCTGCCAATGTGTAAGCTTTCTACGCAGGGATTTTTATGTGGAAAACAAGGCATCCTCTGAAAGCTCTGACACTGAGGTCAATGCTTCCTCTGAAAGCTTACTGACACTGAGGTCAACGCTTCCAATTGCGCAGTGTATTAAACCATTTCAAAAGTTGTTCTGGAATTGACTGCCGATTACTACAGGTATTATTATATCAAAATTATTTTGGTTCACAGTGCTTTGGTCACAAACAATCAATACTTTTCAGAATTCCATTATGCTTAACATGTGACTTTTTATACACAGACTTTCCATCTAGGAAAGTGCCTGAGCTGCATGATGTATCACACACCATCATGGAGTGAACACATGCATATTTATATCCAGGGCAGAAAGAGATCTTAAGTTCACAGTTCTTCAGAACTCAAAAAATAGCATTTCTGAAGTATGAGAACACAGAAAATTAATGAGTTAATTAGAAAACTAAACAGTCTGTTAAGTAGTATGGATCCAAATGGATCCAAACTACAAGAAAGAAGATTCCACCTAAACATTAGGAAGAACTTCCTGACAGTAAGAGCTGTTCGACAGTGGAATTTGCTGCCAAGGAGTGTGGTGGAGTCTCCTTCTTTGGAGGTCTTTAAGCAGAGGCTTGACAACCATATGTCAGGAGTGCTCTGATGGTGTTTCCTGCTTGGCAGGGGGTTGGACTCGATGGCCCTTGTGGTCTCTTCCAACTCTATGATTCTATGATTCTAGTATCTAAATGAGCTAGCAGCCGTAAATTAAGTGCATCTCAGCTACTGCCTCTTTGGAGGAGCTAAGGCATATTTTAAGTGCCTGATGTAGGTAGGCATCCATAATACTCAAGTCTTGTACACCTACACTTTCTGAGTAATTAGCAAATCATTTTAACATAGCAATACACCATTGGCTGTCAGCAGGGATCAATTTTTTCCTATGACAGACAACTCTAAGGTTATGTCAGACTTTAAAAAATAAATGGCACTTTGGATTTTTAGCATCTTCAAATAAAGTTATTTTTTATTTCCTATGAATCTGTCTGATAGTCTAGATAAAATCCCATACTCAAATAAATTAAATTACAGACCCTTATTAGCCTATTCTATTATTTGACACCATAAGGCTAGCACATGTACTGCAGCATAACCTTTCACACATCCATCAGATGTTTGAAGAGCCAACTTCAGAGGATAGGTATATAAAGCACATAGTGTGTGAAGAAAAAAAGGTATTATAAAAATAAAACAAAGTGAGGTCAAAAGGAGAAAAGTTACAAGGGATGATTTACAGAATACAAAATGAGATTTAGGCACAAACAATAAAAGATCCAGAACGTCTAAACTAGTAATGGGCTGACAGTAAAAGATGAACAGCACACATTAATACCCACAATAACAGAGATATGGCAAGTCTATCAAGTAACCCTGGCTGTGCTACAAGTATATACCTATTTGCCTATACTGTGTTCCTACTATGTGAACCGCCCTGAAGCCTCCAGGTATAGGGTAGTATATAAATTCAATAAATTAATAAATTAATAATATTATTTTAAGACGTTTAAGTATACTCAGCTGAACTAAAGTGGAACAGCAGTCTAAGATATAAAAGAGCACCTATTTATTAGACTTGCACTGCAGGATTGCAAAATAACAGTGCAGTCCACATAGGTCAAAGGAACATCAAACAAAAGGATTAAAGGTCTGGTGTGAGCAAATGGAAAACTACAAGTGTGAGGCCATTAAAGGAGGAATGAATAAAATGTCAACAGACTGTGCTAGATGACAATGAGGAGAAACAATAGTTACATTCATAGGCGCCGACTCCATGGGGCTTGAGGGGGCTCGAGCCCCCTCAAAAAAATTTTTGGGGGGGCTCAGCCCCCCCAATAATCTCGGGCGCCGGGGGCGGGGGCTCCTGCCTCGCTGCTTCGCAACCGCCACTGCCAAGGCACTGCCGGGGGGAATTTCCTTCCTCCTGGCGGTTTCAGCCCCCGCGAGAACAGGGGAATCCCGACTGGCCACACCTCCCAGCCAGCCAATCGGCTGGCTGGGGTGGCGTGGCTTGCCCTATTTAGGGCCGGAGCCACTTTATTTGCATATTCATGAGCTTATTTATTATTCATGAGCTTTCCCGGGCCCCCCCAATATTTTTTATAAGTCCGCGTCCCTGGGTTACATTCCAAAAGTAATAACTAAAGGGAACAATGGAATCAAAGTACCAGCAAAGTTTAGTAGCAGTTGTTAAAGCAGGATAGGAATGAAGTGATAAGGTACCCATCATCTACTGCTATCTTCATGTCCTGCTCTGACCACTGGAAGAGTATCCGTCTGGCTGCTGTTATAAACAGAATGCCGGACTTTGATAGACCCAGGTCTGAAGTGCTTGGTCATCCCTTGATTTTATCAGTTGCTCACATCAGCTGATAATGTGAACATGTGGCTCTGATCTAGGTAGCCACAGAGACTGCATGCCACTCTATTTAGCATTAGCACATCAATTTCTTTTCATCTCTGAATCCAGCTGTCGCATCAATACGTAGTAGCCTCCAATTTATGTCTTCCACTTTCATGTCCCGTTCCTAGCAATTCTCCCTAGTCATCACAGTAACATGAAACCACTTTCAAACTGTTCTAGGAAGCTTATCATTAACTACAGACAAACTTCTCAGAAAAGAAACCTGACCACCTCTAACTAGCATTTTCCTACAATGTACAACTACTGCAGGAAGAGAGGCTATGTCCTAAGACCCTAGTCTTCAAATGACTTCCCAGTTGCTAATAATCTCATTTTGTTTGTAATATGCTGGGGGGGGGGCTTTTTAAACAATCAAGCAGCATATAAATTATATTAAAGTAAATAAATAAATGCTCGTTAACTTTGTAAGCTTACTTTGAGGTGACTCAACAAAATAGTAAGCTCAGTCCTTTCATAATATGCTTACTCACCTAAGCCCCACTGTACTCTATAGGGCTTTGCTCAGGGGGCAGCTTGAAGACTGCAGTCCCACCCCCTCTTTCTCTCTCCATCAACTGCCGTGCACTGCCGATTTGTCAACTTCGTGGCTAAGCTGTGCGGCTTTAATTTCGTACCCCACCCCCAAAAATGCACACCACGCCTGTTTTGATCGGGCACTTACGTGTCCTCCTCCTACGAGCCTAAAGTTTCAGCTCCCCGCCCGGTTTAAATCGCGATAGTTGGGCAAAGTGGGCTGCGTGTGCGTGTTAAAAAATAAAACTGCTCCTAACCGCCGAGTTCTTCGCCCTAATTCTTTTTGCAAAACGCTTTGAGGTTCCTCCGTTTAAAGCTGAAGCGGCACAAGGAGATACATTGCATTGCATTGCACTGTTCTGCACTTAAAAAGAATTTTTCGCATTTTTAAAGCCCTGGGACCGTCGTGTGAACAAAGGGCGAGCTACGGATGATGACGATGATGGTAGTAGTAGTAGTAGTAGTGTATGGTTATAACAGTATTATAATGATAAAAAGAAGAACAGCAGTAGTATACTATTATACAGTAATACTATTAGTATATTGTTATGCAGTAATATTACTAGTATATTGTTTATATATATATATATATATATATATGCGTGTTGTTATACAGAAATAACGTATAAAAGTAATAATAAAAATGATAGCACAGTAGCAAAAGTGTAGAAAGAACAACAGCCCGCCCCCCCAAACGCCCTCCAGCAGCGGCGGCACAATAAGGCCCCACCCCGACCCCGACCCCTTGGCCTCACTTACCGTCAGGCTCTCCCAGGCGGATTTGGAAGTCTCCGCCGGCCGCCTCCCGGCCCCTATATACTGAGGGAGGGTGGGAAAGGGAAGCTCACGAAACAAGAGACTCGGAAAAAACCAAGGAGCGGGGCCAGAAAGCCGAGCGGGGCCCGCCCCAAAGGAGGAGGGGAAATAACTCGAGGACGGAAATTCCTGTCATCAACCTCCTCCTCCACAGGCCTCGGGTTTCTTCCACAAACGGAAAAAGCCCCTCGCAGCAGAACAAGCCAGGCTCTGCGGCCGTTGCGGCGCATGCGCGGTTAAGCGCCCTGCGCGAGGACGGCCTGTTTTTATATTTACCTCAGGCGGCGGCTTGGTTGGATCCGAGGGAGGAGCAACGGCGGCAACAGCGGCGGCGTCCTGGGTCATGATAAGAGCTGAAGCGACGCCTGCCCGCGGCAGCGTCCCCTCAGGTGGACGCCAGGCCTTTCCACACGACGCTTGACGGTGGTGTGTGGGGGTTTTTTATTTTTTATTTTGCCTTCACGTTATATTTTGCTTTGCTTGCTAGTTCCTGAGTGCTGCTGCTGCGTTTGTAAAGGGAACGCGGTTTAGGCCAGGAGGCGTTCCGTTTCTGAGGGGAGTCTTATTTATCGGAAGCCGTTTATGAAGAAGTTCTGTCGGGGTCGAATGGTCCTCCGCAGAGCCGGCCCAAGACCTTTTGCCGCCTGAGGCGGTCCACAAAAATGGCGCCTCTCCCGCCCCGCCGCCCGGGAAGAAGCGGGGAGCGGAGGTCGACCTCGGGACCCTGCCGCCTGAGGCGGTCGCCTCACCTTGTCTCGTGGGTGGGCCGGCCCTGATGCCCAGTCACGTTTAAAGCCATAATAAGGAAGGGGGAAGCAGGAAGGGCGCTGATGTTGCCCATCATGAGTGAGCAGCTGGACGGCAGACTCCGCAGCCCCATGCAGGTCACACACTTCCCCCTCCGTGGTGAGATATATCCCGCTTCTCTCTGGATTGCAGTTGCTGTTTCTACATTTGTGTCTAGACATAGAGGAACACAGGAAGCTGCCTTATACGGAGTCAGACCTGTTGGGGCATCGAACTCAGGGTTGTTCTGCATTACTGGCAGCTGCTTTCCCCTTGGGGTTTCAGGCAGGGGGACATTCCCAGCCCTGCTTTGGAGTTTCTGCATGCAAAGCAGATGCTCTGCCCCTGAGCTGTGGCCTTTCCGAAATGTATAATGTGCAAGTCTTTTCCCCTTTCTTTTGGTGATGGCTTTCCTATTGTGTGTGTGGTTTGAGGCTGAATTCCAGTATTCTCAGGATGAGGAATCTGTGTCCCTCCAGAGTCTTTGGATTGGGAGCATCACCCTCAGGCTGCATGGCTAGTGGTCAGGAATGATGGGAGTCCAGCAACATCTGTTGGGACACAAATTCCTCAGTGCATCTGGTCCCATTGAAATCAGGGTGGTTTATTTCTGAATAGACATATATATGATTGCGCTGTAATTCTTTTTAGGCGGAAGGAGGTGTATGTGTGCTAAATTAAGGTTGGCAATGCACAGGGGAGGACCACAGGTTGTTATGAGTGACAAGAAAAACAAATACAGTCTAACACACTCTTGCCCTAATTCTTACTCCTGTCCACTTTTCCCTACCCCTTTTCTTCAGAGATTCAAAGTATATTTTATCAATTAAGGCTAACTGCGCTCAACCTTGGTGAGTGTAAACCCCTACTGAGTAAGTATGCATAGGATTGGGCTGTCAGATTCTCAAACTGAAGGACAAGACCCAAGAGTGGACACTTGCAGGGGTGAAGTGGGAGGTGATCTGCTACTTTTAGGAGATAAGGAAGCAGTTAGCCTAGTCATGTAGTGTCATCCTGCTAATGGTGCAAGGGTCTTCCTGGAACCTAGAATCCCCCGCGCACGTCAGCCTTCCTGGAAGCAAGGTCATTGCTCTGTGTGGGTTGCAAAACTCTTTGCCAAGTTGCAGCATACCTGAAAAAAGTCAATTTTTAGTTGCCTGAATTCTGCATATGCCCAAACGCATGAAGTTTACATATGAAGACATGTGCAGTTGTTAATTATGTGTATCTGTGACATAACTGAAGGAAAGAGGCAGGGGGAGGACTCTATGGATGTAATGCTCCTAGGCAACAGTGATTATGTACATGAATGGGATATCTCAACCTTGACAGGTGCAACCTGTGTATTTCTTGGTGTAGTTCAAAAATTTGTAGTTGTAAATCACTGTAATAACAAGATAGTCATTACAATATTTTTTATGCCCCTATAGCATATTTATTCTGTGCTCAAAGACATTTCATTCTCCATAACCCTAACAACCTTGTAATGTAGGCCAGTGTTACTGTCTGCATGTTATAGATGGGATGGGGCTTACAGTGAAAGAGTGGCTTACATACGGCTGCCCAGTGAGTTCATGTGAAATTTTCCTTTCAGAAAATTTCCAGTATGGGAAAAGAAACTGAGAAGAGTTCGGGTGAATACAGTGAAAATCTGTCACTGCTACATAGTAATAACAAAGAATGGGGGAAATTCAATTGATCATAGAAAGTAAACACCATTATTTCTTTTAAATCAATGCAAATTAATCTTGTACCAGCTTGGCAGTATTTGTCCAGGACATTAGGTACTTTTTGTCTAGGGGAAACCCAGCTGAACTATATTTTCACTTCACATGACCTTTTACGAAAAGGGGAATTCCACTCCCTGAATTATTTCCTGTGTGTCATGTCATTCTGGCAGACAGCCAGATTTGGGTTTTTTTCTTTTACAATGCTGAAGATTTGTTTGAAATGACATACAAAAAGATTGTCTGACTACTAAAAGTTTCTTTTTAATAAAATTCTGGACTCTCCCCAGTTTTCCCTTATCCCTTTGGTTTCACAATAATTTTTCTTCCTTCAGTATCTGACTTCATGGGGTTTTATATGCAACAGTGAAAAGTATATTTAAGATCTCTCATGCTAGTTGTGAATTATTGTTATTATTCCATTTCATACCTCCCCTTTATAGGGCCCAAGAGTGGGTTACAGTAATTTAAAAATACAATATTTTACCGTAATTGCTGCTGTTGTTGCTGTTGTTTACTTTTTTTACTATCCTTTAAATTTTAATGCATCTGTAGGACAAGGATGTGGTTTGAGGCAAATCACCCATTTCTCAGCCCATATTGCCAGGAAGCCTAGGAGAGGGAAAAGAGAGTTTTGCTGCCAGGTAGTGAACTTTAATCCTTCTGGCACAGTGTCAGTCCTTATTGCCCCGCCAAAAAACCCATAAGGGAAAATTTTATCAACAGTAAACCTTTTAATAGGATCACTGTAAAATATCAAAATGAGAAATCCAGTAAAATAGAAAAAGCAATCTTGTGAGTAGATATTTTAGACAAAATTTCTTTCTGCGTGTAAGATTTGGGGGAAATTCCATGACAGAGCTCAATATAGGTAAATGATTATAATTGTGTATTTTTTAAATCATTAAATAAGGGACATTTTTAAAAGGCAATGATTCTGTATAGATAATTAAAATCACAATGTAATTTTCTGTATAAATATGTGACTATTAATCTGACACTGATACTTGAGGCCAAATCCCATATCTCTTTAAAATACAGACAGTAGGTTTGCCCAACTCAGATGTACCTAAGACATGACTAAAACACTCTTTCATAGATAATGAAGTAGCAGATTTCAAGTGTCTAGCCAATATTTGTAGATTCAAAGGTTTAGAATAAGTGACCTTTCAAAAATTTGATGAGCTTCTTCAGTATTGCCTAATAACAATTTCTGTAAATAATTTACTTTGTAGTACACTATTGTAACTGTACCTAAGCCTAAGTACAGCTAACCAACCTGGTACCTAGTTCAGCTCTTTGAAGAGTGGTGTAACATGGTCACAGTTAGGTGCCTCAGTCAGTAGAATAGCTGTTGCATTCTGCACTAGCTGCAGCTTCTAGGACAGCCCCACAGGGTAATCTAGTCCGGAGGTGACCAGTGCATTTCTGTCCAGGGATGATTATAGTTGTGTATCAAACCACCAAGTATGGTAGAAAATGCTCCTTGCCACTGAGGCCACCTTAACGTCCAGTGGCAATGATGGGTCCAGGAGCACCCCCACACTATGTACTTGCTCCTTTAAAGAGAATTGCAGCCCCATTTCTGAAGGAATTACCTAATTCCTGGAAAGAGAACCACAACCCACAGGACCTCCATCTTTTGGGGATTTAGTCTTCCATTGCATCCAGGCTCCGGTCCAGAACTTGTACAACCTCACCTCACTCAGATGGAAGAGAGAAATAGAGCTTGAGTGTCATCAGTATATCAATGGCACCGTGTTCTAATCCCCATAATGGTCCCTCCTAGCAGTTTCATATAGATGTTAAACACCATTGGGGACAAAATAACATTTTGTGATACCCTATAGTGTAACTGCCAGGGGCCTGACATAGACTCACCCAACGCCACTCTGGAACTGACCCAGTGGGTAGGAGTGGAACAAGTGTATAACAGTTCATTCCTCCAGCTACCAACTCATGGAGTCAGTCCAGTATTAGCCCATGGTCAGTGGTATCAAAAGCTGCTAAGGGAGCAAGCAAGAGCAACAGGGTCACACATGGTGCTGTACAGAAAAAGAGGAAACAAAGGAAAAGGAAATGGAACTTTTAACGTCACTGCTGTGAGTTCCAGTTAAATGACTAGCAGAAAACCGTACACTCTACATTTCTTGCTAGGAAGCAACTTTGTCATTTTATTTATTTGAAATATTTATAAACTCAACATATAGCAGTGTACAACAACAAGAAAATATAAGGCAAAACAAACTATTTCCAAGGAGGAATTCGATACTATCTGCACACTCATTCATCCTTTTGAGAAAGCTTGCAGAAATAGAACTTTTAGCATCCAGTGGAAGGTCTACTGTGTTGGAGATTGTCTAATTTCAAAATGCTCTGTGTTTCACAAGGCAGGTGCCACTGAACTGAAGGAGCAACCACCATGTATTGAACCTCTGGCACGGCACCACAAGGAAGACCTCCTTAGACGACCACGGTAAATAGGCAGGTATAGAAGGGATAAAGTAATCTCTCACATTCTGGTCCCAAATTATGTAGGGCTTTATACACTAGCAGTAAGACCTTACATTTGGCTCAGTAACATAGTGGCAGCTGGTGAAGTTTAGTGCTGATGTTATGTGTTGACAGACAGCAACCCTGGCTGCAGGGGCAGCCCGAGACCTCACTCATTTCACAAAATCACTTAAGAAGGTGCC